GCTGCTGGCAGCAGCAATGAGCCGTACAACCGTTTTGCAGCAGCGTCGTCAGTTGTTGCAGCAGCAGCAGCTGGTGCAGCAGAAGCAGCTTGAGCAGCTGCAGCAGCAGCAGCTGCAGCATCATCGAAAGATACAACGCTGGTGTCTGCTGCTGAGAGAGTTCTCTCGTATTCAGCTGTCTGTACACCTGGGAATAGATGTCGATGACTTGCCAGCAGCAGCAGCTATGTTTGCTGCTGATTTTGCTGCTGTTCTTGAAGGGAGAAGTGTAAGTACAGCGGAGGCCCCGCTGCTGCTGCTGCTGCTGCTTGCTGCTGCTGCTGGATATATTAAGGCTTCTAATGCAGCAACAAAACTGCAGCACAACAAAGAAGCTGTGCTGCAGTCTATACGAAGACTGAGGCAGCAGCAAATGGAGGAGCAGCAGCAGCAGAAAGACCAGAAAGAGCAGCAGCGAAGACAGCTGCTGCAGCGCCTGCAGTACAGAGATCGCAATCAACTATGGTTGCTGGAGCAGCAGCAGCAGGGCGAGCTGCAGCAGCAGCAGAAGCTTGCTTCTGCTGCTGCTGAACAGTGGGAGGAGCTAACTAGGGAACTCTATACGCATGTTTCTGATAGCGTGCTGCAGATGCTGCAGCAGCGGGAACAAGAAGAGCAGCAGCAGCAGCAGCAACCAGAGTTGCTGCAGCTGAGATCACTGCAGCACGGAACGCCGCAGATGCAGACAGCATTAGACATCTGCTGCAACATAGCTGCTGCCATAGCAGCAGCAGCACGAGAAACTTTGCTGCTTGTGAAGGCAGCAGCCGATGCAGCAGCAGCAGAAGCTGATTCTGCTGCTGCTACTACTTCTGCTGCGGCTTCAGCTGCTGCTGCGGCTTCTGCTGCTGCTGCAACTGCTTCTGCTGCTGCTGCTACGGTGCCTGCAGACTCGGATTGCGTGGAATCACCAACTTCTGAAACGAGCAGCAGCAGCAGCGGCAGCGACAGCAGCAGCAACAGCAGCGGCAGCGACAGCAGCAGCAGCGACGGCAGCAGCAGCGACAGCAGCAGCAGCGACAGCAGCAGCAGCAACAGCAGCAGCAGCACCAGCGTGTGGGGGTGTTGGCTCAGTGAGGACAGCCACTCTGCTGTCGTTGCTTCTGTCTCCTCACTGCTGTCTCCTTTGCAGGCCTTCTTGCTGCTGCTGCGTTCCTTCCCTCGTAAGCACTCTTGCTGCTGCTGCTGCTGCTGCTGCTGTTGTTGTTATTGTTGTTTCTGCTGCTGCTGCTGCTGCTGGTTATGCTGTTGCACGCTGGTGCTGCTGCTGCTAGAGTGCGTGCAACTGTCGCGTCTGCTGTTTGCTGCTGCCGTGCGGCAATTGCACTACCTGCAGCTGCTGCACTTGCTGCTGCTGCTGCTGCTGCTGTATTCGCTGCTGCTGCTGCTGCTGCTGCTGCTGCTGCTGCACCGGTATGCGTGTGTGTGTGTGTGTGNGTGTGTGTGTGTGTGTGGCGTGCATGCAGGCCTGCAGCGGGTGAACAAACGTTGCATTTCGGAGCTGCTGCAGTCTGCTGCTGCTTTGCTGCCGCTGCTGCTGGATTGCCGTGGGGTGTTTGCTGCTGCAGCAACTCGACAGCAGCAAGACGAAGAAGCAGAAGCAGCGAAGCCAGACGAAGAAGAAGAAGAAGAAGAAGAAGGAGAGGTTTCAGATGAGTACATAAAGCACGTACCCAGGCGTCGGCGGCAGCAGCTGTACAAGCAGCAGCAGCGGGAGAAGCAGGAGCGGCAGCAGAGGAGGCAGCAGCAGCAGCGGAGGAAGCAAGAAAGAAAGCTGCAGCAGGAGCAGCAGCAAGAAAAAAGACAGCAGCAAATAAAAGAAAGAGATACAGATCCACTCTCTCAGCTGCAGGCTGCACTGCAGCAGCCTCTGCCTGAAGACGGCCTCCTCGTGGGCCTTGTTGTGCTGCCTCTGGCTTTCCCGCAGCAAACGGTGGTGCTGCAGCAGCAGCAGCAGGAGCAGCAGCAGCAGCAGCTGCTGCAGCAGCAGGGAGAGGGATCTGATGACGAGCTAGAAGCAGAAGCGGAGGACGCAGAGTTTGTGGGGGCAGCAGCAAGCGCGCCAGCAGCAGCAGCAGCAGCAGCAGCAGCAGNCAGCAGCAGCAGCAGCAGCAGCAGCAGCAGATGGCTTGACACACCCAGCTTCTGCTGCAGCAAGTGAAGGTGCAGCAGCAGCAAAAGCAGAATCAACAGCAGCAGCAGCAGCAGCAGAAGCAGAAGATGTAGATGAGCTGCTGCTGCTGAAAGCCCCCCTTCGTGTCTGTACAGCACACAGCGCCAAGGACGATGAGCCCCCGTATCAGGTTGCGATGCCGAGGAGCCCTTGGAAGGCTTTATCTGCTTCTGCTGCTGCTGTTTCTGCTGCTGCTGCTGCTGCTTCTCCTGCTGCTGCTGTAGCAGCAACCTCTGCTCCCGGTGAGTTGGGGGCAGCAAGAGAAACAGAAGAAGTAGAAATAGAAGAAGGAGAGAAAAAAGAAGAAAGAAAAGGGCCCCTGAAGATTACACTTGGTGGGGTTGTTGCAAGAGCTAAGACTCCAGCAAAAGCAGCAGAAGCAGCAGAAGCAGCAGCAGCAGAAACAGGAACAGCAGCAGCAGCAGCAGCAACAGCAGCAGCAGCAGGAGCAGCAACAGGTACAGCAGCCGGTGCAGCACCAGAAGATATATGGACGCTTCGTTCGTTTGCTGCTACCCGTGCTGCGCGTGTTGTGGCTTTGCTGTTGGAGTATGAGGAGGCTCGCGTTGTGCTGCAGGAGGAGCTGCAGCAGCAAGAGCAGCAGCAACATGCTGCTGTTGCTGCTGCTGTTGCTGCTGTTGCAGCAGAAGCAGCACGGATACAGCAGGCAATTGATGATGAAAATGAGCAACTAGCAGCAGCAGCAACAGAAAAAACAGAAAAAGCAACATTAGCTGATGAGGCAGCAGAAGAGCAGCGCATAAAGGAGCAGCAACGGCGTCAACGAATGCAGCAAGAACAGCAAGAACAGCAGCAGCAGCAGCAGCGGCGGTGGTATCGGTATGGTGGAGATCAGGATGACTATGACGATACCTTTCAACCGTACAGTCGCCGCCAGCAGCAGCAGCAGCAGCAGCAGCAGCAGCAGCAGCAGCAGCAGCAGCAGGGGAGGGGTATNGTCGCCGCCAGCAGCAGCAGCAGCAGCAGCAGCAGCAGCAGCAGCAGCAGCAGCAGCAGGGTAGGGGTATGGGTCGTTTTCAGCTTGCTCCTCGGGCTGCACGAGGGGCGTGGAGGGCGCGACGATGGAACACTTATAATTATAACTACAGCAGCAGCAGCTATTATAATAGTGGGTACAGGGGCCCCCATGATAGAGGAGGAGGAGGAGGAAGAGGAGGGGGCCCCCGCGATGCTGCTGCAGCATGCAGCCTAGAAGCTGCACTTGAATGGGGCTCTCACCCGCATGCACCAGAGGGAGACAAAGAACACTTGATAGTTGTTGACGGCAGCAACGTGGCTATGAAGCACGGCGACAGTTTACAGCATATGAACAGCAGCAGCAGCAGCAGCAGCAGCAGCAGCAGCAGCAGCGGTAAAACATTTTCAACGCAGGGTATTCTTGTTGTGCTTCAATACTATCAAGAGAGAGGATATAAAGTAAGAGTGTTTGTCCCTGAATATCTTCTTTCTTATTCTTCTGTCTCCAATATAAAAAGACAAGAAAGGGCACAGCTGCCTGTAAACCAAGCAAGAATGCCTGACTCTGTTGATGCTCTTATAAAACTACAAAAACAGGGGGTCCTCATCTCCACCCCACCACAAGACTATGATGATTGCTATTGTATTAAGGTAATTTCACTCTTTTCTACTTCTCTTCTCTACTGTTTTATCTATTTGTTTGCTTTTTGTTTGCTTTTTGTTTGTTTCCTTGTTTGTATCTGTATATACGTTATATAATGTAATGTAATGTAGTGTAATATAATATAATACGAACGGCATGTACATATGTATATATATATATGTATATATATATATATACATATATATATATATATATATATATATATATCCTTCTTCGTCTCTGTATGTGTACAGTATGCATTGATG